CCTTCCTTCCTTCCTTCCTTCCTTCCTTCCTTCCTTCCTTCCTTCCTCCTCCTCCTCCTCCTTCTTCTTCTCCTCCTCCTCTCCCTCAGCTTCCCCTTCCTCCTTAAACTTCTCCTTCTTCTTCATTGTAGTCCACTCTAATGGGTGTGAGGTAGTATCCCAGTGCAGTTTCGATTTGTACTTCCCTGATGACCAATGATGTTAAGCATCTTTTCGTGTGCTTATTGGCCATCTGTGTAACTTCTTTGGAGACATGTCTATCAAGTCCTTTGCTCATTTTTTAATGGGTTGTTCATTTCTTTGTGTTGAGTTGTAGGAGCCATTTCTATCTCCTAGATATTAAACACTCATCAGATATGTGATTTGTAAATATTTTCTCCCATTTTCTGGGTTATTTTTTCACTCTTTTGAGAGATAGAGTCCTTGATGCACAAAAGTTTTAAATTTTGATTAAGTCCAACTTCTCTATTTTTTTCTTAGTTGCTTATGCCTTTGGTGCCATATTTAAGAAACCATTGCCAAATTTGAGGCACCTCATTGGCACAGTTGAGCATCCAACTCCTGGCTTCAGCTCAGGTCGTGATCTCAGGGTCAGAAATTGAGCCCCACATCAGGCTCTGGGCCCAGCGTGGAGTCTGCTTTGAGTTTCCCTCTCCCTCTGCCCTTCTCTCTGCTCTCTCTCTCAAATAAATAAATAAATCTAATTTAAAAAAAGAGAAACCTTTGTCAAATTCAAGGTTGTGAAGATTTACCTTTATTTTTTCTTCTAAGAGTTTTTTTCAAAGATTTTATTTATTCATTTGAGAGAGCTAGCACAAGTGGTTGGGGGGGCAGAGAAAGAGGGAGAAACAGGGCTCAATCAATGCAAGGTTCCATCCGAGGACCCTGAGATCATGACCTTAGCTGAAGGCAGATGCTTAACTGACTGAGCTACCCAGGTGCTCCTCTTCTAAGAGTTTTATAGGTTCAGTTCCTCAGTGCAGGTTTTAGATCTATTTTGAGTTAATTTTTTGTATATTTGGTAAGATAAGGGACCAACTTCTTTCCTTTGCACATGAATATCCAGTTTCCCAAGCACAGTTTGTGGAAGAGACTGTCCTTTCCCACTGACACATTGAATGGTCTTTGCACCCTTGATCACATATGTGAGAGTTCATTACCAGGTTCTTTATTCTGCCTTCAGGAGGCAGTGGTGAAGGCAGGGTTAGGCTTGACCTGGGCTTGTGGGTTCAAAGGTCAGGTGTGAAAGAAGCCGAAGCAAAGAAGAAGCAGAAGCAGGGTTGAGAAACAAGTGGCTGAGATGATCAAGCTTGGACTGGAGAAAAGTGGAGTCAAGGAACTGGACATGAAAGAGCAAGGGTCATAGGAGTGAGAGAATGAGAATGCTGGCAAGTCTGGGAGTGTCACACAGCACAGTGCTGCAATGTAGCAGTCCACACAATTCCTTGTCTGTATGTCATTGCATTGATAAGGATTTTCAGTACCCACGGATAGATACCTAACTCAATCTATTTTAAGCCCCGATATCAGTGCATATACACTGCACATAGGGCAAGGCTGTATCAGAGAATGTAAAGGATTTCATTAGGAATGTCTGCTCCCTTTCTTTTTTTTTTTTTAAAGATTTTATTTATTTATTTGACAGAGAGAGACAGTGAGAGAGGTGAACACAAGCAGGGGGAGTGGGAGAGGGAGAAGCAGGCTTCCTGGGGAGCAGGGAGCCCGATGCGGGGCTCGATCCCAACACCCTGGGATCATGACCTGAGCCGAAGGCAGACACTTAAAGACTGAACCACCCAGGTGCCCCTGTCTGCCCTCTTTCTTTTCCTTTGTGTTGGCTTCATTCTCAGGCAGAGTCTTTCCATAAAGTGGCAAAGATGACCTGGAAACCCATGACTCAAGTCTCTTTCTTGATATTTCCAGTAAAAATACCAGGACACAGTGTCATTGGTCTGTCTGCTCATGAGCATCATTTTGCGGGTGGGGGGTGGGATACTTTGATAGGCCAGGCCACGGTCCCATGTCCATTCCTGAAACAAAGCTATAGGGTGGTGTCAACCCATCCAAACCACTCAGACTCAAAGTTAGTGATTGGTCGTTCTCTAAAGAAAGTTAGATTGATGGTAGCCGGAAGAAGCAGGATAGATGCTGCGTAGCCAAAATATGTCTACTACTGTGGGCCTCACCTGCCCTTTACTCACCTTGTGTCTCTTGGACACTGGCTTGCTGCATAGTCTTCTGTTGAACTGAAGGGAAATCTCTGGCTCTGCCACCAGGCCCAGCTTCTTTCTACACTGGATGTGGGATCTAGGCTTTGTCAGGCACTTGCTCGATTTATGATCTTGGACAAACTCCATCCTCTCTGAGGGCCTTAGTATTCTCCTCTTCGAAATGCGAATGCTAGACTGGATCCGTGATGGAACAGCTCTGGGGGATGGGGAGGTGGGGCATGGGACTGCCATCCTGCTCCCTCAGCCTTCCTTTTCTCCACACATACTGGGCACAGAGGAATTCAACAATCTCACGGAATGTGGTTTGAAAACCACTGGATCAAGTGTTCCTAGTGATTCCCCTGAGTTCCAAAATCCTTATTCCCCAACCCTCGCCCCCCTCCCCATTTCCTCTGGAAAGAAATCCTCTTCATACCAAAGTCAGGGGCTTAAAATACTAAATGTAGAAAAGGTCTTCTCTCCTAACTGAACAAGGCACAAAGAAATTAGTCCCATAGAATGCCTCACTTTGACTGTAATTGGGGGAAAGCTTTCTTCCTCTATGGGGTGAAAGGAATTGCTCCTTACTTATGTGTAATGACCAGGAAAAAAGTCAATGAGGTGCTAAGCAACCTTCCTGGTGTCCTAGAGTTGATGAATCATAGGCCACCAGTAGCATATTCAGCCTTCCAAGGCTTTGCCTCTACTCTTTCACGCTCTGAAAATGCCAAAAGCTTCTTTTCATGGACAGAAATCATTACCAAGTCCCATAAAACCCAGTGTTTAGAATACATGCAGCAAAACTGCATGGACTTAAGCATGTATGTGGTGGTATCAAATCTTATTTGAATTCATAAGAAGCCTTAATTATGAGCCAGGCTATGTGCCAGGCAGTTGGGTTAAAATGGTGAATACGAATGTGGTCTACACTCTCACAATGCCTGCAGTTTATTGGGAGAGACAAACTTTGACCCAATAATCTTGCAAACAAAACCTAGATTCAAAAATACTGGAGAGGTACAAGAAGTGAGAGTCAGAAACTTCTACAGTAGGATTAGACTTCAAGTCTGTCTCAAACCTGATTCAAGCTCTCTTAAGCTCTAGGCAAGTCCCTCCTTTTCTCTGGACCAGAGTTTACTCATCTGTAAAATAGTAACATACCAACTGCTCCTGAGGAAGTCTTCCCATTGGTCAGATCTGGCAGAGGCATTCTCTCCTCATGATGCCTTCCTGGGCTCTCCAGGCTGTTCTTGGTGGCCCTGCTCTGGGGTTGCACACCAGGTGCATATACCTGTTCCTGCACATCTTGCACATCTCATGTTGCAAGTTTCCTAACTAAGGACCTCCCTTGTCAACTAAGGACCTTGCTGGAGATTTTGTCATCCCTAGTGCATTGCAGAGTCTGGCTCATAACAGGTACTAACAAATGCTTATTGAATGAATGGATGGATGGGGGAAGTACATTGAGTTACGAGGAGTGTGAATATCATTCAGGAGTGTCATAAAGGAGTGTCACATCTGACAAGACATATTTGCTGGCTGTATCATCTGAGGCTGTGGGTTGGGATGAGGATTATACAGGCTGTGGAGCCTCAAGTCCTCAGTCAAGCTCTCCATTTCTGCTGATTATTCGCTGCAGTAATGTGATTATTTTGGGGCAAGTTAATGTGATTAGTCTGCATCTTCATCTGTGTTAGGACTTGGACTACCTTACAGGGAGGCAGAGTTTTGGAAACATGTTATTCACTGTCAACTTTATTTAAATAAAGGGAGAGGGGTGGAGGCCAAGAGAAGCGGAGGAAAACAGTTCCTGGGAGGATCCTGAGCGGAGCCAGGGTGGGAGTGGTTGGTTGAGCTTGGCCTTCCCAGGGAGGCAAAGCAAAGGCTTGGGAGTCAGAAAACTGCTTAGTAAGCAGAAGTCAAAGTTTAAGCTGTAAACTTGTTTTCTTCATCTCCAAATCGGACGTAACGACGAGCTCCGCAGAAGGGTATGACGTTCAAATGCGATGATAGGATGGCACAATTAGGAACCGGACTCCAGGACCCCACATTAGTGCCTTAGATCAAACCCCGTAGGAGAACCCTTTCCATTCTCACCCTAGGACCAGGGCAGGAAGTGCCGGCGGCGGGGGAAGCCAACCCCGCGACACCGCCGGAAGTGGATGGGCGGCCGCCCATCCACTTCCGGCGGTGTCGCGGGGTTGGCTTCCTCGATGGGCGCGGCCAAAAGCCAATGGAGAGCGGAGGCGTTCCCGCCTTCGCCAGTGGAACGCCGAGTAAGGCGGGCTTTGACAAACCGCCCTAGTAACAGCCGCATGGTAACCCAGGTGCTGGGCGTGTGGTACTCGCTCTCCGTTTTCCACGCTGGTTTTGGCTCCCGGCGTCTGCAAGATGAAGATTGAGGAGGTGAAGAGCACCACGAAGACGCAGCGCATCGCCTCCCACAGCCACGTGAAGGGGCTGGGGCTGGACGAGAGCGGCCTGGCCAAGCAGGCGGCCTCGGGGCTCGTGGGCCAGGAGAACGCGCGAGAGGTGTGGCGGGCGGGCCCGGGAGTTGAGAGGCCGCTGAAGTGGGGGGCTCAGGGCGGGGTGCGCGCTTGGGTGTCCCGCCGACGTTTCCGTAGGGCAGTGCGAATGGGCTCCGGTGGGGGGAGTGGGCGGCGAGGGAGGTCCGCCCTGGGACTGGGAGAGGGGCAGTTCTAGGAGAACAGGTGCTGACCCCACGCGGGCGGTTGACTGCTTGCTTCGCCTCACTGACAACAAATCACTATTGAGTCCCCTCCTCTGTGCCTTGCTCTCGTGACGCAGGGGTAAGCTGGGAAGAAGTTAGTTAAGGTCCCTGCTCTCATGGAGCTTACATTTTAGTGTGGTGAGAGACCATAAACGTTTAACCAGTAAATAAAATAATTATTACATTTTGGTGGAGGTCAGTTCCTGCAGGGCTTTGTCGGACATGGTAAAGAATTTGGATTTCTGGAATGCAGTGGGAGGCTATGGCGGTTTTAAAGTAGGGAAGTGATCAACCTTAGAAAACTCACTTTGGTTTCCAGGGCTTGGGGACTGAAGGAGGGAAATGGGAATTAGGGAGAGGAGCAGTCCTCTTCAGCCACACTCCAGCGTCCTTTTTGACCATTCCAATCAAATCCACTTAAGTGGCAGTGATGCCAAGTCATTTCGCCTACATTATAATCACGAAGTTATTCAAGCTCTTTGTATTATTTTTTTGCAGATGAAAAAATTGAGGGTGAAAGAGGTCACTTCACCTATCCATTTGCCACTCAGTTTAGTAATAATGGTGGTGCTGGGATTTGTACCCACATGTATCTCTGACCCTCAAATCAGTGCCCTATGATATTACAGCTACTTTTTAGCCTACTGTGCTCTTAGTTTAGATCCATGGCCTTTGGCCTTGCCGTGGTTTAGTAGCTACAGACACATGTACTTAGTACAAGGTTAAGACTATTGCCTCCTAGCCAGATTGTGCTAGAAGAAAGGGCCAAAGAAAAGCCTCCAGTTTCTATTTTGAGCATCATCTTTCCAAAAATGGAAATATTGACAGGGTCAGGGGGACTTTGAAATTTCTCTTTATCCAGCTTCTGCTTACTGAGGACCTGTTACTGAAAATAGCTAACACTGGCTGAGTGCTTGCTAATGTGCCAGGCAGCTTTATCTCCATTGTCTTGTTTTCACCTTCACCCTAATAATTGTCACCTACTTTACTCTGCCTCTTTTCAGATGTTAACAAAAAAGTTAAAAGACTTGTATAGTGAATACCGATGTGCCTAAATTCTACAGTGAACATTTTACTCTGTTGGTTTATCCTACATCCATTCATTTATCCATCCATCAATCCACTTTTGCATTTCAAAGTAAGTTGCAGGCAGTAGTACACTTTACCCTTAAGCCCTTTAGTGTGTGTGCCACTATTATGAACTGTTTTCAGAGGAGGAGATTTGATTCACACAGGTTAGGTAGGTAGGTCCGAGGTCACTCAGGGTAGTGGTAGAGACAGGATTTAAACCCAAGCTTGTCTGATTCCAGAATCCATGCTCTTTTTGTTTTTTTTTAATATTTTATTTATTTATTTGAGAGAGAAATCACCAGCGGGGGTAGGGGCAGAGGGAGAGGGAGAAGCAGACACTGTCCTGAGCAGGGAGCCCAACTCAGGGCTCCATCCCAGGACCCCAGGATCATGACCTGAGTCTAGGGTCATGATCTGACTGAGCCACCCATGCACCCTCCAGTATCCATGCTCTTAACTCTGATGCTTTATGCCTCCTTATGAATATGAGCTTCCTGACAATAGAGATGATTAAATAGGATTATATGCCCAAATCTTACTCATTATCAGGGCTCAGTATTTATTTATTTATTGAAATAATAGGCATCCTGCTGCAGCTTCCAGGTCCTTGCATGACTCTGGTCACATCAGCGGTCTCCCTGGTGCTCAGTATCCTCTCTGAAAAATAAGAGAGTTAGACTAGATGATCTTTTAAAGGCCCTTCCAGTTCTTTTTAAATTTTAGAATTCACTGAACATAGCTCACTGGAGAGGATTTGGAGCTTAAACTAAGAGAGAGTAAATGGAAGAAGTCCTAGTGTGTCAGTAAGAGTACACATCCACGTTTTGGAAAGTTTCTTCCCGAAAAGTGTTGAGGATTATGATATCACAGGGCTCTAGGAGAAGATCATGGTGGTTGGCTCTATTTTCTTTTTAGAAATGCAGCAGCTGAAGAACAGCTTCTAGGCTTTCTTCGGGGTACAGTGCTTTTCCATCTGAGCCAGAAATGGAATATAGCCCATCCACATGCATTCTTTGAACCCACATTTTTGGAGTGGCTGTCTAAGTGTGGGACCAAGGTGCTTCTCCACAGTCCATAGGAAGTAGTGGTAGAGGAGATAAGATGTGTTCACAAGACCCTGTCACCACCTGGAGAGAAGAGCTATGGCATGCCCTAAGTAATTTATTAGGTTATTAAATCAATGTAAGGAACCTTGTCATCCTGGGATATGTGTTCAGTAAGTGTGACTCTCAGCCTTCTTATAGTTAAATATTCTAAAATATATAAAAATCAGTAACCCATTTATGGAGTTTGCATATATATATATATACACATATTTATATATCTATATACGTATATATATGCTGTAAATGGTCTAATAGTGTTGCGTTAGTATGAACTTAAGATATAACAACAAATCATCAAGTAACTTACTCTTGAGGATTTGAAAGGCATTCACTTAATCTTAGGGCGCCCTAGGTTTAACCTCACATGCAGCATTTGCTTTGCAACATTCTGGGAGTTAACTGATGGCCAACTAGTAGTGTATGCCTTGATTCTTGGGTTGTTTTGGGAATCTGATGAAAGCTGTGACTCTCCTCCCTGGAACATCTATATGCAGTTTTGTTTTCAATTTCATTCCTAGTCTCAGGAGGTATGTGGGCCCCTGGAGTCTACCCTTGGCCCCTAGGCTAGATATCAGTGCTCCCGTTTGTACCCCTACGAGTCATTCTCTACACAGTGCCATCAAGGTCTTTTAAAAAGAAATCATCATGGGATGCATAGCCTAAGACCTTTTCAGTGGCTTACCATTACATGTAGGTTGAAATCCAAACTTTACTATGGACTAAAATCCTGCTGTGAGTCTTGGCCTCTGCCTGCCTCTTGAACCTCATCTTCCCATTCTCCTTTTATTTGTGCTTTGGTCATGCAGCCTTTCTGTCCCTTGGACATGCCAAGCCCGTTCCTGCATTTTGCATTTGCTGTTTCCTTTGTCTGCAACACTGTCTTCCCTTTGCCTGGAGCTTCACATATCAAATACAGTGTCCTCAGAGAGGGCGCCCCAGATCATCCCCCCTTTTTTTTACAGTGGTGATCATCTACAGTGTTTTTGTGTGTGTCCCTTCCACTAGACCACAAGCTCCAAGACCATAAGGCTTTCTTTTCTGTCACCCTCCCCTGCTCCCAGTACCTAGAACGGTGCCTGCAATGTAGTGGCACTCATTGTTGGCTGAATTGAGTATGAATTGTTTGGACCGGAAACTGGACTTTTTCCCCATGTGAAACATTTCAATACTGATTTATTATTTCTTTCCATTGTGGTGTCTAGGCATGTGGTGTGATAGTAGAATTAATCAAAAGCAAGAAAATGGCTGGAAGAGCTGTCTTGTTGGCAGGACCTCCTGGAACTGGCAAGGTACTCATTTTCTTTCATTTTTTTAAATCTACCCAAGAGAATGATCTTAATGTTTAAGCCAAATTGAATTCGTGTCTTAACTAGTCTTTGTTTAGCTAAATTGGTTATATGTATGTTTGAAAAACTAATGTGCAATAATACAATTGAGTATCTAAAACCCATGCTCCTAAAATTCAAATTATCCTGGCTGACCTCCAAAGAAGAGAGGATGAAGTCCTTGGAGGGGTCTCCATTGTGTCTAGAATTTGTCCTTTATCTCTTTCCATTCTCCTTTGCCTTGGAAATACATTTCTGTTGGCCTAGGGCATCATTAAATCTTGGGGATGACATCTTACTTAAGGGGGAAAAATCAGTCAGTGACCATTTTTTTGAAGCCTAACTTTACCTAGCACTATTCTGGCTGAGAGATGGGGAAAAAGAAAGAAGAAAGGAATTAGATGATTTTTATCTTTAAAGGGCTTTCAGTGTCCAGGGCAGAGAGAGGAAACCATGACAGCACAAAATACTTAAGTTGGCCACTAAGCTGTGAGATACTGACTCGTCTTAAATGCAGCCAGGATTTGAGCCGGAGGAGGTACCGAGGCCTGGTAAAGCTGGAAGGGTTGAGACTTGACATTTGCCCTGCAGAGTTGGGAGAGAGTTTGGCTTTGCAGGGGAGAAAAGGGCCTTCTAGGCAACTTGTTGGGATCTGTCAGGGGACTGGCCAGATACACGAAATGGACCAGAGCTCCCAATTTGAGTCATGCATGTCCCTCAATAGGGCCACTTGGTATGGGAATGTAGGAGCTTGGGATTGTGTTTGTAAAGAAATAAGCTTTAAATTCCAGCTCTGGTGTTGACTTGCCGTGGGGACCCGAGGGAAGTATGTTCACCCTTTCTGAAGTAGCACGTGCCTCATTTCAGACGGTTGTTATACCGGTCAGTTGTAAGATAATGACTTGAATTATCATTTTGAAATCATGTAATTGAATTGATGGTATATCTTATACTAGTGTCTTACAGTAGAGGAAGAAGTGCTGTATTCATGAAGAACCTTTAAAGTGCCATGTAAATGTGAGCTTTAATTATCTCTCTGCAGGCAACACAAGATTGTCCAGTGTATTTACCATTTATTTGCTTACTCTTCCTTCTTATATTTTAGCCCTTCCCTCTCCCTCCATTTTTCTTCTTCCTAAAGTACATCATTTAGAAGTTGCTTCTAGAAGTTTGTTGGTAGCCAGCTCAGGTTTGTATTTATTATGTTGCCCTTGTTTTGAAAGGTGTTATGTTGCTTATATAATTCTGTTGATAGCTGTTTTCTTTTGGTACTATTTCTCTTGAAGTTTGCTACCTTTTTGCTTTTGAAAAGTCTAGTTTTGAGGATTTTGTCTTGATGTTTTCGGTTTTGGTCTTTCACTATGATATGTATCTCTTGATACCTCTTCACTGTGATATGTATCACTACAATTTTACCTCTTCAGACGTTGCATTTCCTTATTCTCTTTGTGCTCTTCTGGAACTCCAGTCAGATGATGTTTGATTGCAGGGGTTTTCAGCCTGGCCCCCCAAGAGACATTGGCCAGGTCTAGAGACATTCTTGATTGTCAGAATTTGGTTGAGCAGGGACTGCAGCTGGCATCTCGTGGGTGGAGGCCACAAGTACTGCTAAACATCCTACAGCGCACAGGACTGTCCTCATAAGAAGGAATTATCCAGCACAAAATACAGTAGTTGCCAACATTGTGAAACCGTGGGCCAGAGCTTCTTATTTTGTCTTCTTTGTCGTTTAACCTCTTTTTTGTATTTTCTCTCTATTTGGCTCTGCTGCATTCGGAGTAATTTCTTTAGACCTCTGTTCCAGTCTAATTGTTTGGTAGGCTATAACTAAGCTGCTGTTTAATTCAACCCACTGAATTTTTCTTTTCATTTTGAAAAATTTGAAACCTAAAAAGAGTTGGAAGAATGGTATGATGATCCCCTCTATACCCCACATGTAAATAAGTAATTGTAAATATTATGTGACATTTGCATTTTCTCTATTTCCGAACCATTTGGAGGTCAGTGCAAGGACATTCTCCTATGACACCAAAATACCAGTGTCTGCCCAAAAAATGCTAACATTATTAGCTGATGTCTTGTGTATATTAAAATTTCTCCAAGTTGTTCCAGTTTGGGGTTGTTTCATTTTTTTATATTTTTAAATTCAGAATACAATCAAAGATCACACACTGCATTCATTGTTGTGTCTTTAGTCTCTTTTTATCTAAACAGTAACGCTCCCCAGCCCTTTTTGGTTTTGTTTTCTTCTTTGACATTGACATTTTTGAAGAGTCCAGGACGGTTGTTTTGTAAGAAGGTCCTGCAGCTGGCCTACAATTGTCTGATTGTCTGATTGTTTGATTGTCTGATTGTTTCATCAGTAGGAAATGTTAAACACTTGGTGGAACCCTGCCCTGGTGGTGATGTATCCCATTGCATCCCAGCAGGAGGCTGACAGGACGGGTGGGCCAAAGGCCAAGTTCTGCTGTGAAGGTCCTGGTTCCCTTAATTAATTAGTAATCGGAAGTGACGCACTGAGATGTTGCAAATATCCTTTCACCGTAAGGGTGTAGAATTCCCTGATGGTTATTGCTATATCAGTTACCACATTGGTGGTTGCAAAACAGTGATTTTCTAAATCTGTCATTCCACATGAATTAGCTTGCTTATGGTTTTGTTTTTGGTAAAGAAGGAACATCCCCCTCTTAAGTTCAGGGTTTTTTTTCCCTTCAAAATATGGCTTTTTTTTTAAATCTGGCTATTTTTATAGCCTCTTGTTCTTTGTTCATGACTCAGTGTCTTCATTATTTCTGTATTCTCTGTCTGCTTGTGAACTCACGTTTGGCTGATCAACTCTGCAAGGCTTCTTCTCAGAGTGCTTGTGAGGGGCCCTCCTGCCCTACCCAGGGCACTTGCAATGAATTTTGTGGCGTAGGTTTTCCGGTCATCAATGTAAAGACTAATCCTAAAGTTGTTTGAGAGCATTCTGTGGGGACTTTTCTCCTCACCCAGAGCCATGGAAGGATGGATGAGTTTATACCTTGTATGTCAGGGTATTTTTTGTTATGGCTCACCTTTTCTACTCATTCATAGTCCTTCGGGGCTCCTTTTTATTCAGAGGTTTCTCTCTCTCTCTCTCTCTCTTTTTT